CAGAGGTGGTGAGTTTTCCTCCAACCTCCTGAGGGCCTTCTGTCGTGCGGAGGGCATCCGCCAGACGTTCACGCTTCCGGCCTCCCCACAGCAAAATGGGATTGCTGAACGCCGCATTGGCATAGTCATGGACGTCGCTCGTACGTCCATGATCCATGCGGCTGCTCCCCATTTTCTGTGGCCGTTCGCGGTTCAGTACGCTGCGCATCAGATCAACCTTCAGCCTCGTGTCTCCTTGCCGGAGACCACACCTACTCTGAGGTGGACGGGGAAGGTTGGCGATGCGTCTGCGTTCCGTGTCTGGGGATCTCGAGCTTTTGTCCGCGATACTTTCGCGAACAAGCTGTCCTCCCGTGCCGTTCCCTGTGTCTTCCTTGGCTTCCCCCCTGACGCACCTGGGTGGCAGTTCTACCACCCCACCTCGCGTCGTGTTCTGTCCTCTCAGGACGTCACGTTTGACGAGTCGGTGTCTTACTACCGTCTCTTTCCCTACCGCGCTGCCTCTCTCCCCCCCCCGCCACTCTTCCTAGTACCAGGTACTCCTCCGGTAGACCCCCTCCCTCCTCAGGGTCCTGCCCCCTCAGGTGTGTCTCAGGTAGACCCTGCCGAGCCGGTCGAGGTAGCTGTCGACTCAGGTGCTGCTCGGGGTGCTGAGCCTGCGGGTGCGGGGACTGGGGGTGCTGAGCCTGCGCGTGTGGAGCCTGGGGGTGCTGAGCCTGGGGGTGCTGCGTCTTGGGGTGCTGAGCCTGCTTGTGCTGAGTTTGGAGGTTCTCCGGGTGTCCCGTTGCGGCGGGAGCCCCTCTCTCCACAGCGGCTTCGTGAGTGGTACACTCGGCACTGTCGCCGTGCTACAGGTGCTGCTGGTACTGGTGCTGCTGGAGGTGCTGCTGGAGCTGCTGGAGGTGCTACTGGTGCTGGAGCTGCTGGAGGTGTTGCTGGTGCTGGAGCTGCTGGAGGTGCTGCTGGAGCTGGTGCTGCTGGAGGTGCTGTGGTGCTGGAGCTACTGGAGGTGCTGCTGGTGCTGGAGCTACTGGAGGTGCTGCTGGTGCTGGTGCTACTAGAGGTACTGCTGGTGCTGGAGCTGCTAGAGGAGCTGCTGGTACTGGAGCTGCTGGAGCCACTCGTCCTGGAGGTGCTCATCCTGGAGGTACTGGAGCTGCTGGGGCTGCTGGTACTGCGGGCGTTGGAGCTGCAGGTACGGAGGCTGGTGGTGCTGCGGGAGTTGTTACTGGAGACCCTGGAGCTGAGGGTAGTGGTGCTGTCTCTGCTGTTTCTGGAGGCGCTGCGCGGCCGCGGCCGTACTACGTTTCGCTCCTTCAGCAGGTTCTTGGTCTACCGCCTTCTCCTGGTCCTACTCCTCCTATTCCACAGCCTGCCCAGTCCCAGTCGCAGTTACAGCCGTCCTCTCCACTGCCTGGTCCTTCTCCTTACTCTGGATCGGCTAGAGGTCTTACGGAGCGTCGTGAGCCTGAGTCACGTCCTGTGTCGCCTGTGTCTCGTGCTGCGTCGCCTGTCCGCACTGCTCGCGCTGGTCTAGTTTTGCGTCCGCGTCCTCCTCCTGTTCCTGGCACTCACTCTATGATACTGCGTCCTTCCACTGCTCCACAGCGTGTCCCTCTGCCCTCTCCTCCTGCGTCCTCTCTTCCTGACGGTCCGGACCCGGAGTCTGACTCTCTTCGTGCTGCTAGTCCTACTGTCATGCGTTTTGTGGCCACTGCTGTCACTGACCCTCTGTTTGAGTCCTCTGCTGCGTCTGCTCTCGTTGCTGGGCTTGTTGACTTTGCTGCAGCCTGTCGCCTCGACTACGCCACTAGTCTTGTTGCTGAGTCTGTGTCTGTGTCTGTCTGTCCTCCGTCCGTCGGGGGTGAGTGTGCTCTTGGCACGGACGTTCTTGCGGACAGACAGGAGGAGTTTGAGTGCTTTGCCGCTGCTGTACCTCATCTCGTGTCCATGCTGCTTGCCCCTGAGGGAGACCCGGATGCACCAGACATCCCGACCCCGTGCTCTTACGCAGAGGCGATAGAGGGTCCCTACTCCTCTCAGTGGCAGGCAGCCATGGACGCCGAGATGGCTTCCTGGAAGTCCACAGGCACCTACGTCGACGAGGTTCCCCCGCCTGGGGCGAACATCGTCAATGGCATGTGGATCTTCAGGGTGAAGCGGCCGCCGGGTTCTCCGCCTGTCTTCAAGGCGCGTTACGTTGCACGTGGCTTCAGTCAGCGACAGTGAGTTGACTTCTTCCAGACCTTCTCCCCTACCCCGAAGATGACCACTCTTCGGGTACTGCTGCACGTTGCCGCCCAGCGTGACTACGAGCTCCACTCGCTTGACTTCAGCACAGCCTTCCTACAGGGCAGGGCAGCCTGCACGAGGAGATCTGGCTGCGCTGCCCACCAGGCTTCACTGGGTCGTTTCCTGCTGGTACCCAGTGGAGCCTCCGGCGGCCAGTCTATGGTCTCCGCCAGGCACCCCGTGAGTGGCACGACACACTGAGGACGACTCTTGCTGCTCTTGGTTTTGCTCCTTCCACTGCTGACCCTTCTCTGTTTTTACGCACCGACACCACTCTGCCGCCGTTCTACGTTCTCGTGTACATAGACGACCTCGTCTTTGCTACTGCTGACACTGAGGCACTCGCCCACGTGAAGTCCGAGCTGCAGAAGAGACACACGTGCACAGACCTGGGAGAGCTGACAAGCTATCTTGGCTTGCGAATCACCCGGGACAGAGCTCAGCGCACCATTACCTTGACTCATTCACACATGGTGCAACAAATCCTTCAGCGCTTCGGCTTCACGTACTCCTCGCCACAGTCCACTCCTCTGCCTACCGGTCACTCGCTCTCAGCTCCACCTTCGGACGAGTCCGTAGAGCCGAGTGGCCCGTATCCAGAGCTTGTGGGCTGCCTCATGTACCTGATGACTTGCACACGACCTGACCTCGCATACCCTCTCAGCCTTCTGGCTCGCTACGTGGCTCCCGGTAGGCACCGAAAGGTGCACTGGGATGCTGCGAAGAGTGTGTTGCGCTACTTGTGCAGTACATCGGGCATGGGGCTTGTGCTTGGAGGACGGGCTCGAGTTGTCCTCACTGGTCACGCAGACGCTTCCTGGGTTGACGACTTGGCTACGCAGCGGTCGTCACAGGGTTACACTTTCAGTCTTGGCTCTGGCTGTCTCTTGGCGGTCTACCCGCTCGTCTTCTGTTCTCAGCTCTAGTTGTGAGGCTGAGATCTACGCTGGGGCCATGGCTGCACAGGAGCTACGCTGGCTTACCTACCTGCTGACCGACTTGGGAGAGGCGCCTCGTTCTCCTCCAGTTCTGTACGTCGACAACAAGGCCATGCTTGCCTTGTGTCAGGAGCACAGACTGGAGCACAGAATGAAGCACATTGCTCTGCGCTACTTCCTTGCTCGAGAGTTGCAGCAGCGTGGCCAGCTTCGTCTTGCCTACGTGGCCTCTCAGGCCAACACTGCTGATGTTTTCACCAAGGCACTTCCGCCTTGTGATCATCAGCGTTTCTGTACTGTTCTTGGCCTTGTACCTACTGTGCCTCACTTGCTTACGTCTTGACTCTGCTTGTACTGTACTCTATATACTTATACCTGCATGCTTACACTTGCTAGGTTGTGTTCACTGTATGGTTTGTTTTCTTTTATATAACTCTGCATGTGAACTGGCCTTGTGGCCATTTGCTTGTGCTCAGACTGCGTGGTGACTTTGTGATCCACCCTGAGCTTGCTTTGCCTTTCTTGACTGGTCTTGTGACCCTTGTTCTCCCCCACTTTGCCTATGGGGGTGTGTCAAACATATATGCTATAGTCTATCTAGGCTGTAGTGGGGTAGTCAATACAGGGTACAACACTTTTAAGGTTTTCATATTTGTACCCACCTGCTGCCTAGTTCATTCATTCCTTCAGTTGATTCTGACACTTCATACCACTCCCTTTATGCACCTTGTATAAGGTCCATGCAAGTATTGAGCCCAATCTATCACCATACCACAACAGTTTCATCATGTCGCGCAAAACATGGGCCTGAACGATGCAGCGTCGCCCTGTCTAAACATGGCTGTTGATAACGCATCACCGCTTGTGCGTTAGCCCTGTGCTTCATACGACTCCCTTTATGCACCTTTTATAAGGTCCATGCAAGTGTTGAGCACAATCCAACACCATACCACAACTGTTTCTCGTTTGGCACTAGTGATCGTCGTGTTAGATTTCGTACAGCGACGCGTAACCGTTGTGGCATAGCCTAATAGTGCTCAGTTAAATTGTATGAAGTAATAATTCTGGACGCTCTTTGTGTGTGTGACATGATACAAACCCACTACCTTACCACAACCCCAGACTATTACATTAGCAACCAATATTTTTTTTATTGTATTTGTTGTAGTTTTAAATGTTATTTAGCTCGTATGTGCAACATTGTTCGTTCGCGACATCACTGTACTTTGCAGGGTTTAGGTTGCTTTCGCTCAATTGGTTCAAAAACTGTTCTAGCATGACAAGTGATTGATGCGTTGGCAACACTGATTGGCCGACGCATCTCAAACGACCCCTCCCGCAACACAAGCACCCGCCAAGCGGTACTTCCGCCATTGAGCGGCTGTGATCGAGCGGTGGGTGGGTTTATGTGGCTACACGTACACCGTCCGATCTAGCCTAATCTGATTACAGTAATCTCTCTAGTCGCGCAAGCCACCCCAACCACCCTCGTGCCCCACCCACCTGCTCCCGTCACTCTCTGGCCCACAACTTTGACGCTGCTCGCTGTTTGACATAGGCGTTTCCAGATCGCCCGTGACTCACCAGTCGACTAAGTCATGGGCCGTAGCTCTTAGTGACTACTATTTCAGTATTGATTGAAGCGGTGGTTTTCGGAGAGAGATGACAGAATAGACCGTCGACTCTCCCTTCGTTACATTCATTTGCGGTTCCCCTTCGAAACCGGCTCCACCGTTCTGCCTTGTAGAAATTCGCATTCGTAAAACAACCATGACACGTGCAACACGGCAAAAAGAAAAGGAGGAGGAACAGGCCGGACATCGCGCGACAAGGAGGTTGTCTCAACAGACCGATAGGGAGGGTGGTGGCGGCTCTAAAGGTACTAATGCGTCCGCCGCGCGTGGCAGAGGGCTGAAAAAATTGGCGGGAAAAAAGGCCGCGTTTGGAAAGGAGAAGTCCGGCAAGAAGGCGGAAGAGAAGGGGAAGCAACCAACGCCACGTAAGCATGTTTCTACCATGAAAAAAGATGCGGATGTTGCCTCTGGTAGAACCGATCCCGGTCCGACTAACGACGGCACCATCGGCGGCAAAGAAGATCCGGGGCGAGGGAGCGTGAGTCTTGCAGTCCCGTCGGCGGAGAGAGAGGGGTCGGCGACAGGGGGAAACCACGGCGACTCTCCCCGCGCCGAGCATGGCGCAACCCAGGAGTCCGAGGCGGAGGCATCCCAACATGGACTGACACTGCTCCAGCCGACCGTGGTCAAAATTTCTGCTGCCGTGGTGGATAAGGCCAAGGCGGGGGAACATAGCATCGCCGACGTAGGTGGCTCTCCTCCTTCTGGTGGACGTGGGAAGCGTAGGCAGAGGAAGAGCGATGGGGAAGAAGAGTATGACACCGCCGTGCCCGGGGACATCAATACGCGGTCGAAGAGGCGGCAGACAAGCCGCGGTGCTGATGTCGCCGGTGGTGCGGAAGTTGGGACAACGCGAGGCGCCAGGGAAGCAAGTGGCAAGGCGACGGGTCATGCATTGCGCAAGAAGGGCCGACCCGCAGCGAGGAGAACATCCGGCGGAAGGAGGGGCAAGAAAGATGAGGGGGATGCGGGGGATGAGGAGGAGGAGGCTGATGAGGAGGAGGATGCGGAGGAAGAGGAGGATGAAGAGGATGCGGAGGAGGAGGACGCGGATGTTGGGGAGGAAGAAAAAGATGAGAATGATGACGAGGAGGACGAAGAGGAGGAGGAGGAGGAGGAGGAGGAGGAGGAGGAGGAGGAGGAGGAGGAGGAGGAGGAGGAAGAGGAGGAGGAGGAGGAGGAGGAGGAGGAGGAGGAGGAGGAGGAGGAGGAGGAGAGGGACGACGAGGATGAGGAGGAGGAGGAAAAGGAGGAGGAGGAGGAGGAGGAGGAGGAGGAGGAGGAGGAGGAGGAGGAGGAGGAGGAGGAGGAGGAGGAGGAGGAGGAGGAAGAGGAGGAGGAGGAGGAGGAGAGGGACGACGAGGATGAGGAGGAGGAGGAGGAGGAGGAGGAGGAGGAGGAGGAGGAGGAGGAGGAGGAGGAGGAGGAGGAGGAGGAGGAGGAGGAGGAGGAGGAGGAGGGGGAGGAGGAGGAGGAGGAGGAGGAGGAGGAGGAGGAGGAGGAGGAGGAGGAAGAGGAGGAGGAGGAGGAGGAGGAGGAGGAGGAGGAGGAGGAGGAGGAGGAGGAGGAGGAGGAGGAGGAAGAGGATGTGGCGGCAATGAAAGGACGAGGCGGGCGAGGCCGACAGGGGAGTGGTACAGGGAAGGTGGGGGGCCGGACTCGCCATTCCCGAAAAGGCGAAGCAGCGGGCAAACTGAAGACACGTAAAGTGAAGGTCGAAAGCGAAGGGGTTGGTAAAAAGCAAGGGAGCCAGGGATCAAAAGGGGATGGTGAAGGAAAGGGCGGCCGCGCCAAAGGGGTTCCAGTGGGTTCCGGCAACAAAGAACCAGCCGGTAAACGTCGCAGCGGCCGCCAAAGCACCCCGCGGAAAGGTGGGAACGAGAAGGCGTAGGCAGCAAAAAAACCGAAGGGACAGCTGAAAGGTAAGCACTGTGGCCCATACACATGGCGTGGCTACTGAACTCTCTGCTCAACCGTGCCAATTAACACATTTCTTCACATTGTTTCTCCCCTGCAGGGAAGGAGAAGGTCGACGAATCTGCAAAGCAAGGTAAGTCCTCTTGTTACAAAACAGTACCCGTTATAACCCGATTTAGATTCAAACCGCTGATCGTACGCAAGCATGTGTGCCCCTGTATTGAAACTAATCGACTCTAATTTTGTGCTCCTGCTCCCTATAAATCTCAGCCCCTCGTGTTACAGGCATTGGGCCACCGGTAAGCGTGCAACGGATGCAGCTAACGAAGGGGGCCAGAAGAGCGAGTGTTACCCCGCTATCCACAAGAGCCCCAAGGTTCTACACGCCATACTCCGGCCCGTCTAAAGTCGCTGCCAGGGCACCCGGCGCACCAAGAGGAGAGGAATCCGAATCCCCTCCACCAGGCCACGTCACGCACTCCCCACTCGCCTCACCCTCATACCCATATCGGCAGCTCCACGATTCTCCTGTCTGGGGCAGGGCCGTCTCCCCCCTCGCCGGTCCTTCGCGCGGGCAAGGGCCAAGCACTTCTGCCAATCCCTTGCCTGAGCTGCCCTTTTCCTGCCAGCGTGATAGTGTAAGGGCACACGGGACTGCTGCAGAAGACATTGATCCCCTTGGCCAGAAGGGGGATTCTTCACACCCTTTTCCCCCGCTCTTGGGTGCCCTAGGTGAAAGTGCGGAGCACGAGCAGTTTGTTACACGGGAGGAGTTCCAGGCGCTACGGTCTGAGATGTACGCCATGTTTGCTCAGCTCGGCCTGCGTCGTGGAGCATCTGCAAGTTATGCCGGGGGGTCCGTAGTGGTGCCTATGAAAGGTACCACGCCGGCGATGAGTGCTGTGGACAAGGCACGAGTGCTAGTGTTGCAGGAGACAAACCCATTCCCGGTATGTGGTGGGCCAAATGGGGCGGGTTGGGGTTGACGTGGCAACCAGGGTGGGGTTGGAGATGACGTGGCGGTTTTGGAGGGTATAAGGGAGTGGCGTATGACGAGGCGAGGCGTGTTAGGTGGGTGGGGGGTGACGTGGCTTGGGGTGGGGGAGGGTGACGTGGCGGAAGGTGAGGGTTGGGGATGACGTGGCGGACGCAGGAGGGTGTGACGTGGCGGAAGGTGAGGGTTGGGGATGACGTGGCGGTTTGAAAGGGTACACGTGAGCGGCGCATGACGAAGCGAGGCGTGTCAAGTGGGCGGGGGGTGACTGTCAAACTTATATTCTATAGTCTGTTTAGGCTGTAGTGGGGTAGTTCTTATAGGGTACAACACTTTTAGGTTTGCTACTTGTACCCACCTGCTTTCTAGTTCAGTCATTCATTCGCTCACATTTTAACATGGTATTCTGAGCAGGTTCCCTAGTGGGAACGGTTTTTTTTAGGGCCCACCACGATTTATTTTTATGCCCTGCCCTCGTGCCGCCCGTCGCGGCCCTGCCTTAGAGGCCCGTCGCGGCCCTGCCTTAGAGGCCCGTCGCGGCCCTACCCTAGTGCCGCCCGTCGCGGCCCTGCCTTAGAGGCCCGTCGCGGCCCTACCCTAGTGCCGCCCGTCGCGGCCCTGCCTTAGAGGCCCGTCGAGGCCCTGCCTTTGAGGCCGGTCACGGCCCTTCGCTGCCCGTCGCGGCCCTTAGCCGCTCGTTGCGGCCCTGTTTTTGCCGCGTGCTGCGGCCCTGCCCTGCGGCCCTGCCTTCGCCGCCGCCACTGGCCCGTCCCGGCCCGTCCTGACCCGTTGCCGGCCTGTCCCGGCTCGTTGCCGCCCGTCGCCGGCCCGTCGTAGCCCGTCGCTGGCCCTTCGCAGCCCGTCGCTGGCCCTGCCCTGCAGCCGCCTTGTCGTGGCCCTGCCTTCGCCGCCCGTTGCGGCCCTGCCCTGCAGCCGCCCGCTGCAGCCCTGCCCTGCTGCCGCCCCAGTCGCGGCCCTGCCTGCACCCGCCCCTGGTAAGCACCCAAGCCGCCCTGCTGCGCCGCGCCGCCAGGAGCTGAGCCACCTGTGAACCCGTGAACACCGACCTGTGACCACTCTGAACACCTTGTGAAACAAGGACGCCACCGCACCTTTTGACCGTCCGTTGGCACAGCCACTTGTGGGAGAGTTTCTGCCACCGGTAATGGCTCGGATCTTCTTCAACTGGAGGTTGAACAACTTGTTCTGGCGTCTTTTTCGCATTCGCTCCAGAGGGCGCGTCGGTGCGCGGCAGTGCAGCGCGCAATGCCGCTCGCTTTGAGCCCGCCGCAGCTGAACCTTGAGTCGTCTCCGTTGACCTGTGTCCACACAGAGTCATCCGAGTCACCTTTGCTGCGGCTTGATTTGAGCTGGAGATTATCTCATTTGCAGCGGCGCGTCTTCTGTACGGAGACTCTACGTCAATCATCTTGCACCGTCGCGGTTAGCAGTAGTAGCAGATTTTTTTTTGTTTTTTTTGTTTTTTTTGTTTGTTTTTTTTTTTGCCGCGCCTCGGGCTTGAAACCCTGAATAGCCTCCGGTCACCGGACGACGCGCGCGATGTGACGTTGTCCCTTGTAACTCTAGAGTCTTAACGAAACGCAAACATGTCCAAATTCTCACGGCCAGAAAGGGGAGTGTCTAAAAATAGAATTATGTGCGACTGCTAGGACTCGGACTATAAGCAAACAAAGCTACAATGTGGAGTCTTTGAGGTTCAAAACGGGCAAGCTTGCCAGAAATGTATGCTTGGGTGGTGAAGTGCTGGGCGCAGTGGATGAAGAGAGACCCCGCCGAATATATCTCAGCGGACAAGCGAGTCCGCCCGGGGGAGCTCGCTGCCCGCGGGCAAAAAAAATAAAACCCATTCGGGCATGCATCCGGTCAGGGAGGCATCAACCCTAAACACAGGGAGGCATGGATTTAGGGTTGATGCCTCCCTCGGATGGCATGCCATCCGATGGGGTTTTAGTTTTTTTCTGCCCGGGGCAGCATGTCGTCAAGTCGTCAACAGGTCGTCAGGCTTGACGACCCGTTTCCGCTGGGATATTCCGTATCCTTACCTTCAGAAACAGGTCGATCGAACTGACCCCTTGCCAGTAACCCTTCTATTTTGCATCCAAGAAACACCCGCATATTTTTCCGAGTTAAATGCCTGTCACTACAGTCGAGACTTGTTCCTACAGGCACACAACCAAACTGTGAAAACGACCCCTGAAACAGAACTTATGTCGTACTTGTTTTCAGTGAACCAGCATTGCCAGGTTTCTCTGTGGTGATTAGACTCGCCAGCAAGCCAGTCTGCAACTCCCAATTCCAACTCGCTGGAATCTTGGAAACCAATCAGCATCCCGATGCAACTGCTAGATCATTCTCTCTGACGCACTCGTGCTCATTGTGGTGAGGTGGAAGTAGGAGTCAGCAATGCCTTTTGGCAGGAAAACGCAATGTACAGTGTGTGGAGGGCGGCTACAAACCACCTCAGTTCGTTAGAAGAACGTTAAGTTGTCCTTGTCAATGGACTGAGATGGGCCTTGCATTTACCCTGCCACGTCATCTTGCACCCTAGAACAATTGGGGCAGTAAGTGGGCAATTGGAGAAATGTTGGTACAGATGATGGCCTACCTTGACCCGCAAATTTTCCTATCCCGTTCACGCTGCCCACGCCGATTGCAACTCACCACGGGCAAAGTGGACGGGAAAAATATATGGAAAGAAAATATGGCAAATTTGTCTGAGACTGTAACTGGAACTTGCCTTGGTAATACATGTCTCTTGTTGTAGCCTTCGTAACTTCCACAGCAGGCTTCAGTTGGACAATTTTTCAGCAAGCAGTTTCAAACAGCGAAGATGTACAAGACGTGCACATAATATCACTAGACCATGGTTGGAGCGCATGACTGTTGAGGATCATCTGTATGTACAGTGTCTCAATCTATCGACTGAGGGACTCCCTTTGCCGATGGGTGATGCTGACCGTCGGGCATAAAAAACAATAAAGGACAACCACCTCGGATGTCCCCGCAGTTAGCTTCCAACACACTTGACTTTTCAGTTGTTCAATCCAAAAGGAACGAGCAGTTTGAAACAGAAAATATGGCCTTGTTCTGTGGCGCTAACTCAGAGTTAGCTAACTCTTAGTTACCGAGCCTTGTAGGGTTGGGTGAGTTCACCGACGAGTAATCATTTCGCTCGTGTGAAGGTATGAGTTGTAACTCACCTTGTTGTTCTGTGGCCCGTAACTCTGAGTTATGGGAGTGTCAGGAAGGTTCTCGAAGATGTCCCGGTCAAAACTTTTGGACTCAACCCGAACTGCCGCCCCTTCGAAACAAATTTCGCGAAAGGGTGACCATGAGGCACAAATTCAACTTCACGCTGACGAAACCATCCCCCCGACTTCACTAGTTGGAAAGAACCAAATGTGGGCATTGTTAAGGTAACCCCTCTCGAGCCGTACTCAGAGTAGTGCAGCCAACTTTCACCCAAAAGCCCGAGTAAGGGAATGCTGTAACTCTGAGTTTGTTTGCCCGTGAAAGAAGATTCGGTGCATGCTTCCTAAGAAGCATACTCAGAGTTATAACTTTGCGTATTTGGAACCCATATTTGCTAACTCAGAGTTAGCTGGCACGGTGTGATTATAACGTACACATGTGTGAGGGTTGAGTTAATGAAGCCACCACGAACCTTGTTAACTCTGAGTTAAGGGGCCACAGAACAAGGCCTAAATTTCCGTATCAGCTCATGCGAAATCTTCAACAACTTCGTCGGGCATGAACGACGGTCTTGTTACGAAAACAATGGGTTTTGATTGTTCCCGGCAGAATCACGATTACAACGGACGAAAAATGATGATGTCTATAATCGATGAACTTTGCAGCGGGGACGTGCAGCGCCAACGTACCTCGGCCACGTGGCATATCCGTTTACCACATCTCCATACCTTGCAGCGTTTCTTAGCTCGATACAGTAGAGGACGGGGTATAGTTTTGGATGTAGTGTTTCATATATTTGCAACTTATAAGTTGATTGTGATGTGTGTAGAAGCCAAAAAAGTTAGCGGGTAAATGCGTTTTATATAGGAATATATTTACACTCCAGAATACACTGGCTTCCGTTTCTCCACAAATGCAACTAACCCTTCCAGTCTGTCTCTTGATCTCAAAACGCCTTGGTAGCATCGCCTCTCTACTTGAAGGCCACCTTCAATATCCACATCTCGGCCTTTATTGATAGCCTCTTTAGCGAGTCGGACGGCAAGAGGTCCCTACAGTGGCAAGCGCAGGAGACGGAACGGGCAGAAGAGAAGTG